AGTTTATACTATTGAAGAAATTGAAATCTTTAATATATCCAATCAATAATTTTTTATTAACGAATAAATTATAAATTATGGGATAAAAATATCGATCTCTCCGTAAGAGTGACTGATATGTTAATAACTGTATTATTATCCATGTATATAAATAAACACGTTAATTATTGAAACTCTAGAACGAATTAAGAATTTTATTTAACATACTAGTTAACATAATTTGTTACGGTATTATCATGAATACTATAAACATTTAGCTGGAATAATATTTTAGTATTTTAATATATTATTCCTTACGATAATTCTTTGACGAATTATGACCGATGCATTGCATGAATAATACTCTTAAATTTGTTTCTAAATTCTCTATGTAAATATTATTCATTGTATAAAGTTCAATTTTAGAGATGAATAATTATTATTTTATCTGTATATTTTAATTTCACTTATTAATTTATTTATTGCGGATGGCAGAAATCAATAATCAACAAAAATAATCACGTGTTAAAAATATCATGATTATTTCGATTATTTTTATCCTTTATTATCAAATATAATCTCTCCTATATCCTTTTATTATATTACCTTTTTTCCATATATTTAACTTGTCCAATAACGTAAATACTGTATATTCTTTCATTAAAAACGTTAAATCATTTATAAGATTAACATATTTCATTACTATTTTCATTATTATTATCATATTTTATTACTTTTTAAGTAAATTTTTTCATAACATGATATTTGATCTAATAATTCCTTTATTGTAAATTGATAACTTCGATTTTCCTCATTTATTAATTTCTTATGATTTTTCATCGATTCTTAATCCTTTATATATTAAACTTATTATTTCCATAAGTAGTCAAAATTTCTGTAAATATTTTATCTTTTTGTATTACTAATTCACTGTTCTTTTATATAGACAAAACCACTAATATACCACATATCCCTTTTTTTTATTATATTTTTCCAATACTTGTTCAAACTTAGAATTATCAATTAAAATTTATCCATAAAATTTTTTGTATCATTTCCTTTTTACATACCAATTTTGAAACATTGCTCTCCTATAATAAAATTTCTTATTAATTTTTTCTTTGATTTTCTTTAATTTTTTCAATCAATTGTCATTTTTCCATTTTTTATTTTGTTTATTTAATCCATAACCATCTTTGATTTGTTGTTTAAATATTTTTTCTTTTCCAAAAATAATCTTTTTCCGTTTCCTTCCATATATTCTATAATCACCTTTAATTTCATAAAATTTATTATTATGTAATTTATTTGTTACATCATTTATAATATTCTCCCATTCACATTCATAAAATAATTCTTTTATTTTATTTAAACATTCTTGAACTTTCTTTCTATCCCCTTTTATCGCATAATCATACGATAAATCTTCATAATATTCTAATTCATTTTTTTGAAACCAATTAAAATAATTTATTTTAACACATTCAAATCCTTCAAAATCCATGATCGTTTGAAATAAAAATTAATGAGAAGGAAAAGGTTTAAAAGTACCTTTGTAATGAATAAACTTATTATTAGGAAAAGTTATTAGGAAAAGGGTTTAAAAAAAAGGCCAAATTGGGTATTAATTGAATTATATTCAGAGGGATATAATTATTAATATGGGATTTTGAGGAATCTAGAAAATTGGCCAAAATTTTTATTATATAAAGGATTGGAAAAGATAGTGATCAAGTGAAAATGAAATAATACAATATAATTATTATAACTCATTACAAATCATTTCATTGTAAAATGTAAAATAATGAATCTGTAAAGTTAGGCATTATTGGTCATCTTATTATAAATATTAATAATTATGGCTCATTATAAAAAAAAGAATATGATGGATTAGTAATCAAGGTATATAATTATACATCTTATCGATTATGACGTATTCTAAGTTATAAATATGATGGGAATTCTAAATAATACTGTAACATTATAAATCATTTGACTTTGGATAAACAACTACCAGTCCGTTAGCATTACATGAAGCCTTGTATTTATTATTGTCACAAAGCTAATTTACCTATCATAGAAGTTTTATCAGCTTTTTTTTTCAAGAATTTAATATTTTTTTTTTGCATATTGCCCTCCCTTTTGGCTATTTAAAACACTAAAAGGTTCGTTGGTTGCCGATATATTAAAATAGAAAAGCTTAATTCAAACTGTTTAGGTTAAAGCCACCTTAGGTTAAGGGGTCGTAACTGTAGGCGTTGTAGCACGTGATTAGTTTGTGAACAGACTCCACACGTGACTTTAGAGTAGTTTCTATTCCGGAATCTTCTAGTTTCACTGGCATATATTGTAAGTGATATACTGTAACTCGGGATTGTTCTTCACGACTTCACCATTTTAATAAATCGAAATGGAATTTTATAGAACACCTATAACTGCATAAAAGATCTCATACTTTTTTTGTGGACTCAAAATCACATATCCCAGATTATGTCACGCAAAATATCAACGTTACCTCGGATATTTCTAGGTTTGTGCATGAGTATGTGGCAATGTAGGTGATGATATTATAACAAAAAAAGACAAAATAGAATGCTTCCGGGTTATTAATTTCCACTAGGATGAGAATAATGGTATTATTGAATTTCATTTATACATGATTATTATGACAGAATGCTGTAGATACTTTCTTCGAAACAAAAATTCTGCAATTATTTTATTTGATTAGAATAGCAAGGCTGCAAGCACACGTACAAAAAATGTATATGATGTTTCTCTATTAATTTATATATTAAATATGTTGCATATGTTAAACATGTTAAACATATTAAACATTCGTAACATTTGCAACATTCGTAACATGATCGTCGGGCACATGATTATACGATTAACAGTATCGAAATTAATAAGCTAATAGTATAAAAAGTATTAAGCTTAAATAAAAAAAAATATATGTCACGTGTATATAAGTCACGTGTGGGACAGACAACATTGCATGTTTTTGTGTAGAATGTAAAAGTCTCCACTCCGCTTCGGACAAAAACGCAAACTGACCTTTCGATTAACTACTTATTTGGTTTTAAAAATTAAAAAATACAAATTATCCGAGAGATTTTTGTTTTTGACAATCATATCTTGAATTAAAAAATTGGACGCATTTTTTAGTATTTATAGTTACAATTAATCTAACCATAATTCTCAATTTGGACGAAAAACTTCTAAATTTTTTTCTTTTTTCATAAGAACAAAGTTGGCTCAACAAAAATTCAAAGAAATGAAAATGGAAATTACTTATCTAAATTTTTTTTTTTTTTTTTGTTTCTCTTTCGTAAGTGATTTTGCCTTGAAAAATTCACATAATAAAAATGAAAATCCTTTAACATTTTTGATTTAATAATTTTCTCGGATTTGTTAAAAAATTCAAAGTTTTATTTATATATATATATATATAATATTTTTTTTTTTTATATTAGCAAACTGACATTAAAATTTTACATAGTACCTTAACAACTAAGAAAATGAATACGAATATTGGATCCGGCAGAATATGCAAACATTACTTGTATCAAATTCAATCTGTTATATAGTTTTCAACGCAAAAACAATATAACTGATATTCTAAATGAAATTAATCGAAGTAAAAAAAAAGTATTATTATACTAAGAATCCGACCCGATTCGACCCTTTCGGAACACTATGTACAATGTTTACGGAATTTATAACTTACAGAAATTACGGATACAGGGAAAGAAGTCACATGATATAAATAACGATCAGTTACGAGGGACGACTAAATAGCGATGATTGATAACAGTGTCAAGAAGGTGGAGAAGAAAAATAAAAATAGAATATAATTAATTAAAGAATAGTAAAATGGAAGAGAGAAGTTTTTTTTTAATGTTTTTAAAAGAGTATTCTATGTAATATGCCAATAAATAGGGACGTTTGACGAAGAAAGTTTTAATTATAATGAATAATATATTTTATTACGTTATTAAACAAATAAGATTTATTTATATATGAAATATATTTAAAACAAAATATACAATAATATAAAATTTAGCATGATAAATAATTAAGATGAATGATAATACTTGATATGCATTTATAAAAATACATATAATATAAAATAAATAAAAAAAAAGAAGGTTCAGTTGTTTCTTATAATTATACATAGCGGTCAAAAATGGCCATAAATATAATATTATTTACAATTATACAAAACTTATGACATGTTTATGATGTTTATAATGGCAATTCAACCATTATAACATTTCGCAGCTAGTGTAATTTATATAAAAATAAAAATTATGATTAATTAAAATTATCATTACCGGTATTAAAAAAAAATATAATCAATACCTGAATCACTATTAATTAAAATTAAAAGACACTAATTTGTAAAGATTCTAAGATTTAATAGATAAAGTAATCGATATTTAAAAATTAATTAATTTGAATACATAATAATTATTAAAAAATTTCGTTAATTACCTGAAAATTGCGTGCTTATAATTGTCATAATAATCATCGGATATGGAAGATCACCAAAATTTAGTAATCTACTTGTATAAATGGCTTCTGAGTGTGTTTCAAATGATAGTTTTAAATCAGTTGAAGGTATTGGCTGAATAGAATTAACCTTTTCTGCTTCTTTAATCTGTTTCATTAATTCTAAATTATCATCCATCCTCCATATCCATAAAATTGATCTAATTTCTTTTGCTATTGGTCGGTTTAATGGTTCTGCATCTAAACATCTTTTAATTAAATTCACAATTAATTGCGGTACTTTAATATTAAATCTTGGCCTAAACCCTTGACAAATCTTTATTGCTAAATATTTATCATGGCCTATATCATGATACGGAGGTAATCCAGAAATCATCTCATATATAATTATACCAAAACTATAAATATCAGAAGCTTTGGTGTAATTTTTTCCTCTTAAAACTTCTGGAGCAATGTAAGATAAAACGCCATATATACTATTTTTTGCGTTTTCTAATTCATCACAATTTGCAGGCTTACATAATCCCATATCCGTTATACAAGCATCATTTATAAGAAAAACTTAATATATTTCCGGTATGTAAATCTCGATGAATTAACCCTTTCTCATGAATTTTCTCAATCCCAACTGCAATACGCCATAAGTCACGTAACTTATCATCCCAGTTTAATTTATTATAATTCGTATTTAAATGTTTTCTTAAACTTCCATGATCTGCATAATCCAAAATCATCATATAATTTTTTGTCTTAGGATCTTGCGTTACTCCATAAAACCTAACGATAAAGGAATCTACATCCTCAATTTTATGGTGTAGTGTAATCTATTAAAAATCAAATACATTAATTAGTTTGTTAAGAACTTAATCAAATTTTAAATTCATCAAATAAAATAATTTATACCTCTTTAATGAATTCTTGTGTAACATTTTCTGAATTTTTCAAACTCTTTAGAGCTACATTCATTTGTTGACCTTTTCTTTTCCAAATTTGTCCCTTTTTATTCCATTTACTTATATATCCATCAGTCCAATTTGCACTAAATACTATACCAAATCCTCCACTAGCAATATAATTAATATTATAAAATCTATCATATGGAATCCATTCTATTATTTTATGATAATTATTTGCTGATAGCTGAACATCTTGAATAAATTTGTCAATATCATCGTTACCACTTGTCCAATTTTTAAAATTTTGTCGAAAATATTTAGCGTCACATGCTTTACCAAGTATTTTCTTGATTACACTCTTTACATGTTCCGTGTGCACTCATGGTAAACTTAGCTTTATCAGTTATCTGTTAATAAAAGTAAAAAACTTTATTAATAGATAAGAGTAATTTCGCTACATGTGCGCTGAATTTATAAAATTGGGCGTTATTCGGTCGTGTGGGTGCTCAAAGAATAATATCGATCATCTGACTCCATATTTATTTCTAAACGAGGACAGTGCATTAGGTGATTATGATCTAGAACACAATTGGAAAGATCTTCCCACTAATAAAGCGAACAAAAAAACTATTTTAGGGAACTTCATACACCCGTCACGGAAAAATGCACATGTCCTACAGAGTTTAAGAATATTTTGTTTTGTTATCAACATTGATTCAAACATTTTTGGAATATCATTTAAAAAAACAAGAAATATTGGTAAAACATATTTCCAGTATAATTTCACATGAAAAACGTATCTTGTGAGATACGGGATTGTGCATGTTTCACTGTTTCAGTATCTTTCAGTATAAAGAACATATTTATAGAGAGGCTTAACTAGTGCTGGAACTGCAAATTCTTAAAAAATTAAAATAGCATTCAAAATTTATTCACTGCATATAGTATAAATAAAACAATTTAAATTTATATTATTATAACCCGTTAATTTGCTAATCAATTTGTACTTTTTTAATTTAACTGGGCATACTATTATATTATATTTACCAAAAAACTAGAAAATATGAATCACAATTCTTTCAAATGTACAGTTGACCCCTCTATCCCCCCTTAAGGCCCTTATAAGCACATTTACGTTGGCACACCATTTTTCGGTCAAAGTGTTTTATTACCATAAAATTTATGTGAATGATGGATTAATGTAATCAACCTAGCATCGCCTCCAAAAAATGGTAACCGTATTTATTTTGCCGGATTACATGTAATAATAATACTAAGACATATAAATATTCATTTTTTCTTTTTAAAATATCGTTATTTTCTTTGCTTACATATTTATTATTCTTTTTAGGATAACATAAGATGGGATTTCTTGGAACAATAGGTATGTTTTCAGTTTTTAACGCTTTTTCTTTTTTATGTCGATCTTTTTTGTGTGATTCTTGGTTTGTTTTTCTATTTTTATTGTTTTTACGATGGCTTTTCCTAATATTTTCATGATCGGGATTCCTTTTATGTTCTTATTAAAGAATTCAATGATTTCGGTTAAATTCCATATTACAGTATTACGAAATTATTATATATCTTTCAATTTATGACAATGACAAAAATTTATCATTAAATTGACCAATCAAATTTCAAGGTAGTATGTCACGTGAATGAGTGCGTAGATGTCTTTTAAATTTTTAAAACCCATATTTAAATTTTATTTATATAATATTTTTGACAAAAAGAAAATAATTTATAATTCTTTAACAAAAAGGTTTGAAATAGATGATGACATATCAGAAAAATCCAAATTTCTTATTGAAGGTTCAATAAGTGCAGGAAGTAAAATCAAATGAATAATTAAAAATAAGATCCATTTTAAAAATTTTCCAATCATAGTATCCTCATTTTTACTCTTATTATTATTATTATTATTATTAAATATAATTTCCCATAAGATAAATATTATACCATGAGTCATAAAGAAAAAGAAATGTTCACCTGTCCAAATATTAAAATTTGTAATTAAATAATATTCATGTATTAAACCACTAATACCAAAAGAACCTAATACACCCATAATATTTGCAATTTTCTTTGAAAATATTGTAGAAAATAAATTATTAATAGGTAAATAACCTAATTCTTTTAAACTTTCATTAAGTAATAAATGCCAACGAATAGACCAAAATTCACGAGGACTTGATGAAATAAGTGGTGCATTAAATAAATGTTTAGTATTAAATAAGAATGTAATAATCCATTCTTCTAAAGAAGCATACTCAGAAGGAGTAAGGATACCAGATTGAATTAAAATAGATTTGCAAAAGATGAAACGATAGATGATCGCAACAATGAAAGTAATAACATCATAATTTAATGAAAGCCATAAATATATTACTCCTTTGAAATTCAAATATAATCCCATTGAAGAAATTGTAAAAGGAAGAATTCCATTAGTAAAAAATTCTATTAAACGAATTTGATAAGCTTTTTCTGGAATTTCTACTTTATAATTGGTTAAAATTAAAAGTGTAAAAACACCAAGTTCAAGAAATAAGTATTTTGCAATGATAATTATTGAACGATTAATTAATATTTTGTTAATTTGTGAAGTTGTGGGTGATTTAATAATTGAAGGATTTTCTTTTTCATTTGAATTTTTTGATACTGGAGGAATTATATAAGAATCAGGACGCCAATTAAATAATGTTGAAATGAATGATTTAAATTCTTTCTTTTGATCCAAATTTTTTTGATCTAAAAATGTTCTATTAATTTTTAAAAATAATGCCATTTTTAATGATAAAAGCATATTAATAGTTACAAAATTACTTTGAAGTGAAGGAGGATAATCTTTTTTACGATTAATTATTGGAATTGAAATAATCAAAAGTGCTAAAGATAATAATGTGTAAAAACGTTTCCTTGTTTGAATTGGTTCGAATGTAAGTGATATAAATAATAATAATGGGGTAAAAAATACTGAAGAATAAACTGAATTAGGTAATTTTGGTGGAAATTCTTTCCATGTCGATAAAGGTGAATTAATGATGAAATTTAATATATGAGCGATTGTTATTGACAATGGTGTATAGACCAGATTTGATTTTGTAAAAATGTTGGATCGAGAATCTAATGACATTTTAGTGACGTTAATGCTATTTGTCTATGAGATTTTATATGTGAACCTATTTATTTATTTTAATTTTTATTTTTGTTTTTTATATTTCAAAGAGTTTGGAAAAAATCTCTGAATTATATTGTTCTATATATATATATATATATTCTATTCATGTGATCACGTATAACACTAAGTATGTGACAAATAAGATTTTGACTAACCGAAAAAAAAACCAAGTCCCCAGATACATATGGATTACTGAAAACGCGAGGAGTGTGACGGTAGTGACAAATAAAATCTATTTTTAGAAGCGAGCGGTGATGACTGAACGGAGTATCAAAAATGTGATCATTTATAGAACAATAGAACAATAGAAACAATAAAAATCCTACAATATTAAAAAGTTCACTAAAAAAGATTAATAGTTAAAATTAGAATATTATGATTCGTTGTTATATCATTATTTGGCGCTTCGTAGAAATCTATATGTAAAATGAATTTACAAATAAAGTATGATTTGCTTAATAGAATCGATAAATAATGTTCACATATGGTTACTATATAATTTTGGATTTTTCTTTAAAAAATGAAATGTAGATATTAATTTGTTATACGTAAATGTATTGGTACGATGATCGAAATGTAAAATTTCCTTTTATAGTACGTTACATCCAAAATAAGAAATTGATCTAAATTTTTTGAAATTGGAAATTTGAAAATCAAAATTTCAAAATCGAATTTTCCATCCCGTAAGTCCGTAATTTGGATCGCCGCCAATTGTTTCGACAATCACTTCGACAAACATTTCACCAAAGGGTTCATTTCACCAATAAATGTTTCATCTTCACCGAAAGTTCATTTTGTTAGTGCAAAGTTATTTTTAAAGAAAATTAAGGTCATTTTGGTTTAAAAATGGTAAATTATATGCGATGAGACTATGTATGTATTAATAATTATAAATTGGGACAATATTATTGTAAAAAAAAAAAAGAAAGAAAAAAGATTTATTCAAAAAGAAATATATTTTTATTTTTTTTTTCAAAAAAAAAAAATATATATATATATATTTAATTTTATTATAATATTAAAAAAATTACTATATATATCGGTGAAAGGAATGATCCTGTCGGCGAAACGTTTGTCGGTGAAATGGTAATCGGTGTCAGCGAATAGTTATCGGTGAAATGATCAGCAAAATAATGATCATCGGTGAAATGATTATCGGTGAAATGTACTCGGATTACTCGGCTAGTCGAAAAGATATATAGCACGTGACATATATATGATGGCGTAGTATAAAGTATAATAAAGTATAATTGTATATACTATATACTTTATACTATATAATGTAATTATGTTATATTATGTAAATTTTTCTAATAACTGACTAGCCGAGTAACCCGAGTACCCGACAATAAAAATTTTCAAGTATCCACTATATTTTGAATTTTGCTGTAATGGTGAAAATGATTATTGGTGAAATGTTTTAATGGTTATCGGTGAAATTAGTTGAATGCGTCACAATGAATTTAGACGATCAAGTTGTGTCATTGCAATTTCTTTTAAAAATATTTCATTTTTCGCGTAAAAATGCAACAATTTTTTAATTTTTTTTTTTTTTCGTGGCAAATTAAATAATAAAATTTTATTAATAAAATATTGTATCAAATTTACGATTACGAGTTTTTTCTAATTAATTTTAAAATTAAAATCATTAAAAATGACTAAATCTAAGAATCTTTCACTACTTCTTTCACTAGTACTAACGAAATAGGTATATCAAACCGCTAGCGAAGGAAGATTACCCTTTCGCACCAAAAAAAACCTTTAAAATTTTTTATTATAAATAATATAACGACAAAATATCGATATATTTATATTGATGGTCATATGAATAAAATAATTGTTTTTAGAAAAGTTCTCAACTATACACAAACAGCTTTTTTTACGGATTTACCAAACGTTGTTAGGAAAAACCCTTTATTAAATAGAATCTCCAAATATTTGTTTCTAAAATTCACGTTCTTTTACTTATTTATTATAAAAAGACGCATAAAACTTTTTAAAGAACAAAATTAAATGAGTCATGATTCTTTTACTTTTTTCTTTATTTTCTTAAGAAACGACAAAAATTTTCGAAAAAATTACGTGGATTTATAATTTAAATATGAACCAAGTCTCAGTTCTCAAAGTTCCACAAAATGACAAAAATGAAAAAATCAAACATGAAATATAAAAGACGAATTCAATTGTATCGAGAATCACGTGAAATTAAATGTATCAACAATTGCCAAGGATTATCAATATTGTCCATGTTCTTGTAGGCAAAATCATTGTAAAATTGGCTCCATTTATATTTTACTATATTACAAACTGAATTTCTTAATTTATCGACAATCATATTTTACTCATTTTATGACAAAATAACTTAGTAATAAGAATTATTATAAAGAATCCTGAAATTTTAAATTATTAAATTTAAAATGAAAATAATAATTATTTTCAGGGAAAAGAAATTAAATTTAGAAATAATTGTTTTTTAACCAATTTTTATAATTATTTTTTCATTAAAAAAATAAATTATAATTCACGAGAAATGAAAAATTTTTTGTTAATGATCGGTGAGAACAATTCTTTTTTAGATACTCGTAAATATGGAAACCGAAATATAATAACCGAAATATAATAACCGAAATATAAAAAAAAATATTAAAAAAATCATGAGGGTGGCTTAAAAATTATAAATTTTGAATGAGATCATTTTCGTTAAATTTTACCAAATTAAGTATGCATTTTTTTTTGCAATCGGTACTAACTAAATTATACATATATACTGTATATGTAAAGTACCCCCACCAAAAAATCATTTGTAAATTATGAGTTACATATTATTTTCCATATCTTAACTACGGAACATACCCCATATAACCCATATACTAACTTATACTCCATATTACCCCCGTACTTGTTTTCAACTTTTCAATAATAATAATGATCGACTAATAATGATGCATTTTATTTTTAGACTTGTCAAAAATCACCTTCGAGATCATTTGTTTATAATTATAGTTAAATTAAATCTTTTATTAAATAATCTTAATATTAAATAATCTTATTTTAACTTATAAAATTCTAATTTACTATTCATTTCTAATGAAAGAATATCTATATATTAATTCTATATATTACTTAAAATAACTGATTGACATATGTAAAACACATGACTGCATAATGATCGATCAAATAAATTAATAAATTAATTGATCGATCCAATAAAATTTCACTCCCTTAATAATATAATAAAAGTTTCAATTTCTTCGATAACATAAACTAAATCTGTACTTATATTATTTTCATAATTACGACTTATATTATTAACATGTAAATTTTGTTCTATCATACATAATGAACCTTGTCCAAAATTAAATCCTGAATCAAAATGATCTAATATAGCATCCGAATTATTAATTACACGACTTATTTTCATATTTTGATCATCATTTTCATTTTCAAAAGAAAAAATAAAATTACCAATTGCATTATATTTTCTTAACCCATAACCGTATACAATCGAATAATCATTACCTAATGAACTAAACCCAATAGAACTATATCCACCAAAAATTTTATCTGAATCTTGAACTTTAACTAAAACTAAACTTGCTATTCTACCATTACATTTAGATTTAAATGTTTTATTATCAATTCCATCATCACTACCACGATAAATAAGTTCGAATTTATAATGTGGATCTGTGATATTATAAAAATCTTTATTATTAATCCAATTAACAATTATGTTCATAAGTTTAGGATTGATAATCTTTGATTCAAATTTTCCTATTCTAGGTGGTAAAATCATGATTTTTGGTAATATACCATTATGATAAAAGTTTTCAAATTCTTCATAAATATTATTAGGAATAATTTGTTTATAAGGTTGAACTTTATTAAAAAATTCATTCATAGGAATTTCCACAAATCGAATAAGTGGAATAAACTGATTCAAAGTATTTTTTAACGCATCATAATTTTCATTATTCCATTGTGATCTATCATCGTTCAAACCAGGAGTTTGTCTAATACCCCATCTAATTAAACTGTCCCAAATATCAATTTCATTAGTCTGCAAGTTATTTCGTTCGAGTAAACTATAGAGAACATCTTTATCTAATAAGATAAAGTGTTTTGAGGAAATAAAATGTTGTGAATTTTCGCAGAAATAATCAAGACAATAATTTTTCAATATATCATATCTCGCAAATTTATTAAGAACTAAAATCAAATTTTGTTGAACCCGCTGTTTATGTTCTTCGATCATATATATTTGTAAATATTCAACTAATTCATCAAGTAAAAGTTCGTCAGATGCATCTAAAAGTCCGAGAATATCGCTGCATACTAGATTTGTTAAGTCAACTTCACCTGTGTAAATATATCTTTTAAAAAAGAACGAAATTTTGTAAATTAAAGTCAATTCAAATTTTGATTATAATTAAAATTTAATCACTCACTTTAAAATCAATTCAAAAACTATCGGATCAATATTGGGTTTATTAAATAAAATCATGTCATCTTTCTTCGTAATCCATTTATTTGACAAGGCACTTTTAAAATAAGGTGAACGAGCACGCAAAATAACTGAATGCGCTTTAAATTCTTTCATATTTTGATCCTTCCCAACTTTAATGATAACATTATAGTCATCAGAATCATATAGGATCGAGGAAAGATCTTTTGAAAGACTAGAATAAAAAATTGAGGTCATTTTATTTTTTTTTTTTCTCGTTAAATAAAAAAAAAAGTTGCGAAAAAAAAAACTTGAAGTATAAATACTTTACCCAGCAAATTGTTTTTTTCATTTATGATCACCGATCACGAGACATTTAAGTAATCTATCACGTTCATAGCTCGGCTATAATTCGAAAATTTTTTATTGCTATTTTTAATTATCTCCTAATATAGCTTCTTTTACCACCCCGACTCATTTGAATAGCATATATATAAAATAATTAAAAAATAAAAGATATTGACGATAAGCATCTAATGCAGTATGAAAATTAATTTTGACACGTTCATTATAAATTTTTTTGTACAATTAGAATTTTTAATTATTATGTTTTCATGTCATATATATATATACATATATATATATTTGAAACAAAGCTTCTAACGTAAAATATCGGATTATTGGAATATATAATATAATAAGAAAACCTTCAATATCCCGAAAATTTTGAAATATGCAAACGTTTTTTTTTTTATATTTTTTTTTTTTGTCTCCGTAAAAAGTATATTACTTAAATGTAAAGGATCTTCTGAATTCTTTTCGTCCGTGATTCTTAGATCATTCCCTTCCGGGCACCGATATTTTCATATGGGTCTGTCAACAAAACAAATCAATAATTTAATTAATTCAATTAATTAACAATAAATAAAATAAACACAAAATAAAAGTCTAAATTCTTTTCAACTTTAATAATAACTTTAATTTATTCCCTGAATTTTAATATTAAATTTTAATTCAATAAGCATATGATTGAAATTTGAAAAAAAAAGTTTATTTAGGAAAAAAAAATGATATGATTTAAAAATTTAACAAATTACATCATTTATTACATCATTATCATTATATATCAATAAAATCTTAATAATACCATCCAATAAGATATTTTCTAGATTCATTTATTTTTTCGTTGGTTTATTAACTACTCACCGTATTTTGTTGGATCAACATTCGAAATATTAATCAAATAGATCGTCCATTATCTAAAGTCGTTCATCAAATTCTTCAATAAAATATTCTAATTGTAAATAATAAATTTAGTTCAAGTCATAGTATCCATATTAAATTATCAAGAAGTTGCTTAATTTTCTATTTTAAATGATAAAGTTGTAGGTTTTAGTAAGGTAACTTAAAAGAAAATTCTTAAAATTTTCATAAATATGACTGGGAAAATAAAATAGCTTTATAAGAACGGTCCTTATCAAAAAAAAAAAAAAATTATAATAGACCTTGTCAAAAAAAATTATAACAGACCTTATCAAAAATAAAAAAAATCAAAAGAGGAAAGTTCCACCAATCGAATTAGAGAAATAAATCGACTCATTGTTTCCTTTATGCTTACATACAGTACATGCTTCATACTATTGTTCTATCGCTTTCCCTATTTCCCCAAGGCCTGAAGTTTGTTAACCTCATTTAGTTAAATAATGGACACTTTCAATCTGAATATCACTTTGTTAAAGGGAGTCATGATGAATATCTTTTTATCTAGTGAAGGAATGTTTCCGCAATGGTAATAATTTTGAGTTTAATAATTTGGTAATTTTTTATAACTTGCAAGTTATTAATAAAAGACCGAAATTTTGATGAACTAAACACGTTGTTTGATCAATTAATATTCTTTCTTCAATTTCTTCAAGAAAGCAAGTTCATCAGAAGCGACTAAAATCGCGATATATTCATATATTTTGTTCTTCCAAGTTTTAACTCAATTGCTATCTCCAAAAAAGGGAAATTATAAGTCAATAAAATCGTGAGTTTTTGAACCTATAAAAAGAAAAAATAATATAACTTGTCAAAAATTATTGGTGTTTTTTTTTTCTTATTAATTCATGTATTCGGCCAAGCATTTTAAAATAAGATGATCGAGTAAGTAAAAATAATAAAGTATATTAAATCATCAGCATCATATGAAAAGTCTTTCAAAAGATTATTACATAATTTCTTTATTACTTTTCTAATTTTTATATATTACTTTAAAAAAAACAAAAAAAAGAAATGAAATGAATAAATATAGAATAAAATGTTTTTTTAATTACAACAATAGGCTCATTTAAACGAGTTTAATCAGGAAATAATTATTGAAGATCAATAATTACTGCGCCGTAAAATATAACTATAATTTTAAATTAAGGAAAATATGATAATCGAAATATAAAGTTTTAGTATTTATTACAATCAAAAAGGTATCATACTGTAATATCAATATTTTACGCCAAGATAATGATTTGAAAATCGTGATTATCAAAGATTTAACGATTTAACATATACGGTAATAATATAATGATACGAAAAACACGAATAATATTATTCGAATATACAAAATTTAAATTTCTGTTTTAATCTGTAATTTAATCTTAGTAAAAACTTATGACATACTAATAAGCTGATACGAATAACACGAATAATAACATGTCACTTTAACTTAATTAACTTATAAAATATATAAATTATTAATTTAATTTCCGTTTTAATCTGTAATTTAATCTTAGTAAAAACTTATGACATAAGCTGACGAATAATAACATGTCACTATAACTTAATTAACTTATAAAATATATAAATTATTCGAATATACAAAATTTAATTTCCGTTTTAGTCTGTAATTTAATCTTATGACATACTAATAAGCTGGCACGAATAACACGAATAATAACGTGTTATTATAACTTAATTAATTTATAAAATATATAAATTTTAAATTTAATTTCCGTTTTAATCTGTAATTTAATCTTAGTAAAAGCTTATGACATACTTATTTTTAATCTATTTAATCTATTTTTTAAATGTTTGAAATGTTTCTTTTTAGGAAAAATAATAAATGAAATTATTGCTTAGATACGATAAATGTTTCAATTTCTTCAATATTATAAATTGTGTTTGTATTTAAATTATTTTCATAATTCCCATAATAATTACTTAAATACAAATTTTGATCTGACATACACAATGAACTTCGTCCAAAATTAAATCCCGCCGTATAATCTAATATAGCTTTAGAATGATTTACTACTCGACTTATTTTCATATTTTGAGTATCTTTACTATTTTCGAACGAAAAAATAAAATTATCTGACGCTTCATAAAATTTAAACCCATATTCACCAATAGAATAATTATCTCCAATTGAACTAAGCCCAATTGAACTATACCCCCCAAAAATCTTACCCGATGGTTGAACCCTAATTAAAACCAAACTCGCTACTCTACCACTACATCTATTTCTAAATGAATTACTATTCATACCATCCCTACTACCACGGTAAACAAGTTTAAATTTATAATATGAATCATTTATAGTACGAGATTTTTTATTATTAATCCAATTAACTATAATATTTGCAAGTTTTGGTTTGATAATTTTTGATTCAAATTTTCCTATTCTAGATGGTAAAGTTATTGTTTTTGGTAAGGTATTTTTATAATAAAAGTTTTTAACTTCCTCATAAATATGATTTGGAATAATATCCTTATAAGGTTGAACTTTATCTATAAAATCTGTATTAGAAAGTTCTATAAATCTAATAAGTGGAATAAATTGACATAATGTTTTCTTTAATGATTCATAATTCTCATTATTCCATTTTGTTCTATCACTATTCCCACTTCCCAAACCAGGAGTTTGTTCAATACCCCATTTAACTAAATAATCCCAAACATCGATTTCTTTAATTTGTAGATCATCTCGCTCAAGTAGGCTATAAAGAATATCTTTTTCTAATGAGAGAAAATTTTTTGATGTTATAAATGGTTCCGGTTCTTCACAAATAGTTTCAAGACAATAATTTTGTAATTTTTTGCAACGAATAAATTTAGACACAGTATGAAGAACGTGAACAAAATTTTGTCGTATCCAACTATTTCGTCTTTCAATTAAATAGTTTTGAACATATTCGAATAATTCATCAATAAGTAATTCATCAGATGCAACTAACAATTTAAGAATATCTTCACTCGATTGCTTATTTAAATTAAGCTCACCAGTGTAAATATATCTAAAAAAAAAAAAATAACGATAATTATTAACTTTCTCAATATTTTATAATGAAAAAATATACATAATTTTATTTATATATTCTTACTTTAAAATCATATCAAAAACAATTGGTGTAACATTTGGTTTAAAAAACTTAATCATATCATTTTCTTTCGTAATCCAATAATTTGATAGTGCCCCTTTAAAATAAGTAGAACGAGCACGTAAAATAACTGAATGTGCACGAAATTCTTTCATATTTTGATTTTCACCAACTTGAATAATAACATTATAATCATCAGAATCATATAAAATAAATGAAAGGTCTTTTGAAAGACTGGAATGGAAATTTGAAAACATACTTTTTCTTTTAAAAAAAAAAGGACAAAGTGTAAAAATTTCTTCAATTTTTTTTTTATTTATATACAAAAAAAATCATTAATATGACGTAACCACATAGTATACATGATCATCCATTGATCATGGTATCACAATGTAGTTTATATTGTATGCAGAATGAGGTTATCAATGAAATCTACCGCGTGAGTGAATATCAAAATTAGCTTAACTTCTATTTTGATTCAAACAATCGATTGATTAATTTAATTAATTTAAATAAATTGATTAATAATAAAATTTTGTATCCTTTTTATTGGTTACGGATAAATAGATATCCGTCTGTCCGTCGGATATATCTGACTCCGACCCGAAAATGTGAATCGGTTTTATCTTCGTCAATAATTAACTTCCAATCCATTTTTTTTACGATGACGACTTTGCATATAATTTATAAATTAATTAATTATATTTTTTTAATCAATCTCCTGATCAGAAATTTTCATACAAAACAAAGTTGGAAGTCTTTTTTATTTCCGCTTACCCATAAATGATCAATAAATAGAAATAATCATCATATCCTGTTTGATTAGTAATCGACAATTAAACAATGAATGTTGATAAATGGAAACTTATGTGGTGCAGCAGCATATGCAACAAACAAAATTAACAAATAGGGTCAATAAATCAAAAAAAAAAATTGGTTCCAGAATTTTAAATGAGTTGATTAATAAAAATGAGCGATGCAATTTATGTTACGCATAAATATTATTTACACAATGACGTAATTGCAAAGCCAATCTAAAACGTCATGAAAGATTAATAATAATATGGAAGGTAATTATATTACGATTGTGTTTGACGCAATCCTAAAAAACAACAAAACGAATAAATCAATTTTATATGACTAGAAAAATCCGTATTAAGTCCGAAGTGCCATTTAAAGGTTTTTTGTTGCACAATGTCACGTGTGAAGAAAAAATATGATTCTTGATAGATATTTTTAATTTTATATGACGGACATCCGGACATTGCATACCAACTTGCTTAGAAATAAATATATAGTCCTTCGTTACCTTATTCGATTAATTTATTTAAGTAATCACAAACTTCCAATAAAAAAACACAATAACCGCTACGAAATTCCAACGATCAGAATCCCGTTATAATTCAAACCCGACGTTCACCTCAAAGATTCAAAATTCCGACACTCGTTATCCCGAATTTATTATCCCTTTTTTTACATTATTATTATTTTTTTTAGACATAATTTCACGAATTTGTTGTAAAAACCTATATCTAAACCAAAAAGTATTATACCAGAAACTTATGAATCGGGTTTATTACATATTTCTTACAAATAAAGATTTTTTATTAATAATACGTCGAAAAAATTAAGTAATAATTAAATATTTTTATTAATATGCAAAGATTTTAAAATACTTAACAATAATTCATTGAAATTTGTGAAGTATTATAAAAATTATTAATAATAAAATTATTAATTTTTTAAAATAAAAACGTTAGTGTTTGTGAATATTTAAAAGATTTTATTCTAAGTATATTAGAAAAATGTAATTTTTTTTGGATACAGTATAAATATATAATTTTTATTTTGATTAAAGTCTAATAAATTATTTTTACAATTTTTTTTGTATTCATGAAGAAGATATTAAGTATCGGGATAAAGTGTCGGGATTTTGAATTGTGGAATTATGATTTGTCAGCATTGTGAACGTCGGGTTTGTGTAACTTTGTATTATAACGGGATTCTTCGTAAATGATTCCCATCTCTTTCCATTTAATTCATCTACTATATACAAAAAATCTAAATAAAATATCTATCCTTAGGTAATAAAGTAAATAAAACAAATATAGCACTAATTTGCTGTAGTACACATATTACATATTTGGGATCATCCAGTTAATATTTAATATGAAGGAAAAAAGAATGTTCTGTACGACCAAAAATTAAACAATGATTCGGATATTGGCATACATGGAATTGAATTTTTTTGATAAACTCTTTCTCTTATTATAATACATTCATGATTTTCGTTAGAAATAATCGCTTAATGATCGTCAATTTATTTACACCGGATTACGTTAAAAGTTTCAATTTCCTCAATAGTATAAACTATATCCGTATTTAAATTATTTTCATAGATACCATTCCTATTATTAACATATAAATTTTGATACTTCATACATAATGAACCCTGACCAAAATTAAATCCATTGTCATAATAATCTAATATAGCTTTAGAACTATTTATTACTCTACTTATTTTCATATTATGAGTATCTTTAATATTTTCAAATGAAAAGATAAAATTATTTAATGAATAATACGATGGCCAACCATTATTATTTTTAATTAATAAAAGATTTCCAATTGAATTAAATCCAATAGAACTATATCCACCAAAGATTTTTTCTGAACCTTGAACTTTAATTACAACTAAACTTGCTATTTGACCTTTACACTTATTTTTAAATGAATTATTATTAATCCCATCATCACTACCACGATAAATAAGTTTGAACTCATAATGCGGATCATTTATCGTACGTAAACCTTTTTTATTAATCCAATTGATAATAATATTTGCATGTTTTGATTTGATAATTTTTGATTCAATTTTTCCCACTCTATGGGGTAAATTTATTGTTTCTGGTATTATACCTTTATAATAAAAGTCTTCAACCTCATCATAAATGTGATTAGGAATAATATCTTTATAAGGTCGGACTTTATCAAAAAAATCAATAGGAGAAATTTCCGTAAATCGAATTAAAGGAATAAATTGTCTCAAAGTTTTCTCTAAATTTTTATAATTTTCATTAGTCCATTTGGATACATCATTATTCTCACTTTCAAAACCAGGTGTTTGTTCAATACCCCATTTAATTAAATAATTCCAAGCATCAATTTCCTTAATCTGCAAATCATTACGCTCAAGTATGCTATAAAGAATATCTTTATCCAGTAAAAGAGAATTTTTTGAAGTAATAAATGGTTGTGAGTCTTCGCAGGCGGATTCAAGACAATAATCTTGCAGCTTCTTGTAACTTGCAAACTTATTAAGAATAAAAACTGAATTTTGTTGAACCCAATTTTTTTGTTGCTGAATTAAGTATTCTTGTAAATATTCAACTAATTCTTCAAGAAGCAGTTCATCAGATGCAATTAAAAGCTCAAGAATATCTTCGCATAGCTGTTTTGTCAAGTCGAGTTCACCTGTGTAAATGTACCTTTAAAAAAAAAAAAAATTTTACGAAAATTAGAATTATATTTATAATCAAGATATAATTTTTAAACGGTGTTGCACTACACATTATTTGACCAGCATTATGAGCACTTTGGGAAGCATTAATAAATTAATTCGTTTCTTTCATGGAGCCTATGACTCTTGTATATAATAGGTACACCGTAAAAAAATTTTTCTAAAATTAAATGTATGTAACTTACTTTAATATCGTTTCAAATATTCTTGGAGTAATATTAGGTTTAGTAAACATGATCATATTATTCTTCTTTGTGGCCCATTTATTCGAGAAAGCGCTTTTAAAATAAGGTGAACGAGCACGTAAAATAACTGAATGTGCTTGAAATTCTTTCACATTTTGATTTTTGCCAACTTGAATGATAACATTATAGTCATCGGAATTATTTAATATTAAAGAAAGATCTTTTGAAAGGTTGGAATGAAAAATCGAAGTCATTTTTTTAAAAAAAAAAAAAAAAAAAAATTTTTTTTTTTAAATTAACATGAAATGTCGAAGCTTTTTAATTTGTTCATGATTTGGGCGTTTATGTGTCAATCATTATTTAAGTTTTAGATATAGCCCAAATTCCATTATTGATGCAAGTGATTTTCAATGACGAAATAAAAATCATTCGATAGACCCGCCTTCGTCTAATCCCGGTTAAAATTTGTACCCTACAAATTATACATTCCTACAGATTGTACATGAAGTTTCTTATGATAATGTGTCAAAATTTTTTTTTTTATTATTTAAATAATTGTATTAGCGCTAAACCTTGTTAGTATACTTATTAATTATTTAATTATTAAGCCTAGAGATGATCAGATGTCATACTAACCAAAATAATCAGGTTGCAGTTTTAGCATATGCTTGGCAAATAAGTAATTTCCTACATCAATTTTTTTTAACGACCAACTAAGGCAATTATTACGTTAATATTATTCACAAAAAAATTTTTTCAAATTGACAAATAAAGTGGATGATGAATAATTAAAAACAATGTTTTATACAACTTTTTTTAAAGAATATTTCAAGACGAGGAACACTGGCTTCGTTTCTAGAATAAAGAAGGAAGGTATTTCGAAGTCGAAGTAAACCGTCTCATTAAAATATTTCCCTTTCTTTAGTGATTTCTTTAGTATGTTATAATTTATTAATTGAACTTTAATGGAACTTGTTTTAATAATTTCCATTATTGCTTTGTAATTTTGCGAGGAATATAATGTAAGTAGCCTGATTATTCTAGTCAGAGTGAGGCGTAGAACTATCTCTTTTGTACGGTCGTACATAAATTTGTGTATCCCTGAATTATTTTCTTCCTTCCGCCCATGTAACTTTCCTTTTTTAGATAATGATCTCATCCCGCTAAACACATGATTCTACCTTTGCTACAGTATAACTCTTCATCGAAGATATTTTTCTAAAAAAAAAAAGAAAAGAAAATTTTTAATATTACTGTGTATAACGATTTTTACATATTAGCGACGGACTTAACGTCTTCCGTTTTCCTAGTATGTTTAATCGTTCGTTTCAATATAAATGATTATTCATCTTTTTAACTTCAATTTTCTTTTAAAGTTTGGCAATCTTTCATATATGACTCTTTTGTAGGTGTGATCTTAATTAATGTATAACGTAAAAACTCAAGAAGGATTTTAGCAAATAGTATTTTTATTATTATTAGACCGAATAGGTAAAAATAATCCAAAATTTTGGGATATCTGGGAAATGATAAATATACGACTTGGAATACT